GTGCAAAGATGAAGCAGCTTCTAAAGAGGTGGAAAGCGATCTAGCTTAGATCCAAAATGTGATTACTAGTAATCTAAAAAACATACACTTTATTCCAAAAACTTGACTTTTTTTGTTTTTCCTGTAATTTTTAGTCTCTCCTATCTGCAAAATATGTAAAAATAAAACAATATTTCGTTTGTGAGTTAGAGTCATTCAGGTGTTTGAAAAGGGAGCCAGAAAGGTCATTTTGACTCTATCTTATATAGTATATGTGCAAATAATATTTTGAGTTCAACTGAAGTCTACCACTGTTTTCTAGAGCACGAATGCTCTAACATTCCACAAAAAATGATCTTCTTTTTGGGGAAAACAAAATCCTTGACCTGTACTTTACATGGCGGTTGGCATAATAATGCTCATCATTTAATCTATTAACATCAAAAACTTTTTTCTGAGGTGAAACTTTTTATGAAATGGAAATGAAGTATTAGCTTACAAAAAAAAATAAATTACAATAATATTTTTTTTCTAAGCTAATATTTTATTTCACTTATGTAGAAATGCAAATACTCTAGTCTTGAGTTTGTATACAACTCGTATACATGATCTGAATTTTTAAAATTTAATATTTCTGTCAGTTTTTGTTGCACGGGAGTCAAAGGTTTTGACCTTCATTTTTCATAACAAGTATAAACGTTTCCTAAATATATTTTATAGGGAGGGATACCTTATAAAAATGCGATTTTATAACTTTTACAAAATTGATTTTTGAAATTTGAAAATACCAGAATATGAATAGTTGCTTCATTTAAAATATTTTTGGGATTGGAAACATCTGTACGATCAAAGGTTGCAAAAATAAAGTTCACAAAAAAGGGACTTCTGCGGATACGGTGTGTGTGTGTGTGTGTGTGTGTGTGTGTGTGTGTGTGTGTGATGATGATGATTTAATGCGTAGGAGGAATACGTTAACAGCTTGCAGACTTAGATGACTGAGTGGAAAGACGAACAGCTGACACAGACATAAATTAATTTTGACGAAGTCTCAATCTTTATTTTTACGCCCATCTTTATCCAATCATAATGAATTAAAATAACTCTTATATACACAGATAGAGGGATAGGATTTCATTTTAGGCAAGTGGACTTAGTCGGTTGCACTTAGAAGCGGTGTAATACCAGGGTGCCTGGGTCAAGGACCCTACCCCATGTCGAATATGTAGATTGTTTCGAAAGCTGTCATGAGTAACTAACATAATATGTAATTTTTTTTATAAATTATTATCATATTTTTGGGTAATGGGATAATAAGATATTCTAGCAAAAATAAAGTGGCTTTAGTAGCGGGAATATGTTAGCAGTGGCGAAGCTACGAAAGAATGACATAATTTCTTGCGAGCGGATTTATACCGAAGTAGATGCAATTGTAGAGACAAGCTATTATTGGTTAATTTTAGTTTTAGTTACCTTTTTCAAGCAATGTTATATAACATGGTAGGATTTCGATTTTGGGAGAACAGAGGAATTTAGGTAGAGAGCACCAAATCCAAAGTAGTTAATTTTGAGGTCGCCAATTATTTTTAAAGCAGCCATTGTATTTTGTTATATCTTACATGTGAGTGTGTGTATATATATATAATGATAATATATACATATAATGATAATATATACATATAATGATAATATATATATATATAATATATATAAAACTAAAATTAACTAGCTAAATTAACTAATATTAAAACTAAAACTAAAATTAACCAATCACAAATTAGCTGTATTTATGCGCACATATCTAGTACAAATAGCTACTAACTGCGTAGTCTCTCTCTTTCGTCTGTCTGCTGACAGCGTGTCGCTCAGCCTCTACTAGCTATTTGCCATTATTGAAAATGTAATTGCAATCTAAATTTATGGGGCGCTTTTAGCAGCCCTAGTCTTTTATCGCTTCTGAAGATACGTGTTAAGAAATTCATCATTCAAAAATAAATTATGTTTAACTATCAAGCTCGTCGTGCTTCTTCTAAAATTCCATTGGACGTTGCAATTTCCAATCACTACGTCGCAATCTCCAATCATCTACGCAGAAGTAGTTTCGGCTATGACTAGAACGTCAATTGCTTTTATCTTCTGCGAAAAGCAAAACATTACATATATATATATAGAGAGAGAGATTAATGCGATTTAAGGGATTCCAAGTTTTTTATATATTATATTACCTAAGTGTGGTTTAATAATTTTAAAATCGGAAAATTTCTTAATGTCATAATATGAAAAAATAAGTTCCGATTTGCTACTTGATAATTAATTAGGCAATTCTGATATTAAGAAACTTACGGCACTCCTTTTTATATGTACGTTTCTTAAATAATTTTGAGACTAAAATGTTTACTACATTTCAAAGCTTTCAGCGCTGCTGCGAAAATAGCTTCAATTTATTTTACAATAAATATTTGCATTGCATTAATATAGAATCCATTTTTAAAAGCTTGGAGAGAATAAATAAAAAAGAAACATTGTTTAGTAAGACGCGAAGGATTTGTTAAGTGCTTTAGGTTGAAACCGCTATTGTGATGAAAAGAACCGTTGTTGAGCATTCCAACCATTTCTTGAGGATCATAACTTTTGTAAAGTTGTTCTGCTTTTATATGGCATGAAGCGCACTTCTGTTAATTTAGGCCACAAAACCCACTTCTTCGTGACACAATTAGATATGAAAAAATGCCATTAAGTAGATTTTTTAAAAGTAGCTATTCATATGCATTTATTTTAGCCTGAGGGATACTTTTTTAATAAATATTAGTTTTAAAATAGCTTGTAACTTAGCAGAACATCGTCATTTTTCAACTAATTAAATTTAATATTTTGACAATAATAATGTATTTTAGTTGTTCTCTGTACCTGATAGAGAGCTTTTCCAATTCATATTTTTATTGCCTTGTGTCTGCAACTACTTTAAAGTTTTGTTTTCGCATCTCATTGCGTCGCATGTATCTTGTGTTACTAATATTTATTATGCGCAAACGTTGCTTCAGGTTGTTGCAGTTACATCATTTACTACAGGGCAAACTATATGCGTTAATTTCGTCAACTGAGTTCTAATAGTTGACGTACTTTCGAGCATTAATGAAGAAATATTCTACAGACTGGCAGTATGCATGTATATTAATTTTTAAATAATCGTGTTTGATAATTTTAAATAATCGTATTTGATAATTTTAAATAATCGTAAATGCAATTGAAGCTGTCTTCTGTATCCTGGGTCTGTAAAAGCAAATCCTCTTTTTATGAATTATAGCAGCGATGAATCATTATAATTTCAAATGATTTCTAATTCTAGAATAATATTATATTCATTCGAGCTAGGTTCTTTCAGATGAGGAAATTTTGGAGTTAAAATACGACATGAGGATTATATCTAGAAGTTAAAGTAATTGGGCTGTTTGAAAATTTGATCATAAATTTTATTGTCACTTTTAAAAATCAAAATCAACTAATCTTAGAAATCATTACGGCTCTGTTGTGTAAAATTAACTTTCAGCGATTTTTCAAAGTAACGGCTAACACAGAGAGCTATCTTAACCTATTGGCAAATTAGCTACTTAACGGCAAACACTAAAATAAGCCAAGTTAAAATCTAGTACTGAAGATAATTAAGCCCCTCTGCCACTGCAAAGATGAGGCTCCTTGCCTTGCTTCTGCCTTAAACTTAAATGCCAGTTATATACAAATCAAAGCTCTAATTCCAAGTTAAACGCTGGGTACACTACACTACAACTTAAATTCAACTACTCCCCCCCCAAAAAAAACAGCAGAGCTACTATTTAATTTCTGGCCTCAGACTAATTCAGCAATAACTATTTCTGCTTGAGACAGTGTCTATGCAACGGTTTCTCCAATATGGTACAGCTAACATTAACTCCTTACTTTTAAACTAAGCGCATGCCTTTAAAATTGCATAGGTTTCTGGTCTGAGCTAAAATTATGACAACCAAGAAAGTTTAGTTAAAATCTAACAGCTAATAAAACGTAAGAATAACTATCATAGCATTACAAATATTTAATCACGAATCTATTATTTTTTCGCGTTTAAATAGCTCAAGAAAAGTAGTACATTTCTTGTTTTACTCATTTGTATGTAATATTAAACGTTTTAAGTACTTCTCGCTGCGTGTATAATTAACGCACACAAGAAATGTGAGCGGATTAATTTTGAAAATTTAGAAACAACTGCAGAAGATTTAAAATGGATTTATGCTTTTCTTCAAACACATGGTTATGTTTATGCTTTTTCTAAATTATCTAAAATTAGATCTTAAGAGTTTTAATGAATGTAAGAGAGAATATGGGGAGAAATTTTATAAGTAACGTTATGCCATTAGGCACACGTCAATTTGATAAATAACGTCAATTTTATAAGTAACTTTATGCCTTTTGCAGAGCCATTAGGTATTTTTTTTTAAAGCAGGACATTTGGAAAATGTGCAATGCCCTCAACGGGACTCGAATCTGGACCTCTCGAATACGCGCCATTGCACCACGAAGGCATGCAAGAAGGAAGGGGGAAATACCTTAATGGACAATTGGGAATTAGGGGACCCAATCGCCAAATCCTGGTGGTGGCGTTACAGTGTGCTATCGTTACACTACGAAGTCATGCTAGAAGGTTGAGAAATACATTATACTTTTAGTTCTTGTGTAAATCTTTTTAAATTAAACACAATTTTTCTTTACATACATAGAACTTATTTCCAAAAGATTTTTTGTTTAATAATCCCAACAAATCTTATTAGTAATGCACTGTAATGTTCAGCGAATGAAATCTTTATTCAAGCGAAGAATTACAAAAGATAGGAGAAATATTTAATTTCATCAATAGGACTTGCAAACGGAAACTATACAAAAAAACCTGATTCTGATTCATCACTCTATACTATGCATTAGCAATTTATATTTCACTTCCAATCTTGAATTTTTAAGCGCAATTTGCAATTCTAAGAAAGTTCTTTTGTTTTCAGTGGAAACTGAAGACTTTCAAGATGCCTTTCATGAACAGAAAGAAGAAAGAAAAAGGTAGGAAGTTTTATTTTTTCTATCAGTCTAAATGTCTTAAATGATTGACCCGATTTTAGATGACCCTGTTTCCTTACGTGTTAACATTGTTAATGTGAACAAAGTTGTTGTACAAAAAAAAAAAAAAAAAAGGTGGCTATAATTTTCATTTCGATATATATATTTTCTAAACAGGTACTTCCAATTACAAAGTTTCTTGAAATACGATAGAAGTCAATAAAAAAATAGCTTTTACAATAGGGATAGGATGAATCTGTAAATACAAAACTAACATTTTATATGGCTTCGATAGAGTAAAACGTCCATAAAGATTTTTATAGCATAAATTAAATACGTATTCCAGAACGAATTTATTGACTTAGATCAATGCTGCGAAGCAGTTTCAATCAGATTTTCAGGAAATTTATGGAATCTGCTAAAGAAAGAAGGGCTTGAGCGAATATTTATGCAGGATAATGTGGTATTTGTTATTTACTTTGACATCTGACCTCATCAATCTATTAACTATCAACATCCCTACGAATTTGTACTTGTTGTTAAAGGTAGATTATTAACATATTAATGTATTGTATTCATTTTAATACATGTTTCTTTCACTACAGGTTGGATACAAAAATTAAGTTTTGCATTTTAATAGTCCTAAAATTGCCTAATTCACTTTGACAAAATTTGGAAATCGGAAATTATATTAAGATTAACATTTAAGGAAATAAAATCTGTAGTCTTATTTTGTAATACCTAGTATATCAAAAGAAGAGGAGCATCTTTAAGTTTCAGACTAACACTGCATGCTTATTTAAAATGTTATTTTTTAAAAGACGTATAGTTTGATGCATACGGTATCTACCAATTTGTATTGACAACCCTGCAAGAATGCACGTGCGGTATGTATAACATATCGCCATCCATGGATAATTAGGGGACAGGCAATTAGTGTACCATAGATCGCTGGCCGGTGTAGTTGCTGATTGCGGCAACAGAAGCCTTCATTAGGACAAGCCTGTGGTACAGACGCTCACTGTGCATAAAAACAACAGCGAAGATCGGTAGAATTGTTGGCAAGAATAAATAGATAGATAGTTAGAGGATGCATTTTTGTTCCAATGGGACACGCCCAACTTCAAACTAGAGTACGCTTGTAGTCCAACATTATTCCACAGAAGATGTTGAGACCCATCATGCAAGCCTTCCCAACCGTCGAATAATGTACTCAAAGCAGAATGAGGACATTTAAAGAACATTTATTTTCAAATTCGTTTGATATCTATATTGTCCGTTCTATACACTGCAGTAAATTCCTTTGTCTATATTGTTATTTCAAAATCACATAAAACTACTAAATGTGTTCACGTCTTTCTGTTGTTAACTGAATTTCGTAAGTGGAAATTGCACTATCCTATACTTTTCGGCGATGGATCCGCCGCGAGTGAATTCAACAACTTGGTACGCTGCAGCTTCTTTTCTGGGTAGTCAGATATTAAACTCTATATGATGTTTTCCCCTTGAAGATTTCTTATAAATGTGCATTCCTGTCCTCTTTGCCCTCAAGCCCATATAGTCGCGAAATGGTTATGTTACTACAGCGGAGACAGTAACAAAGGATCTGCTGGTGTAAGCATCGTAAGAGTTTATTATTCTGACGTTGTTCGTGACGTTTTAAAAAATTAACCGATCTGAAGTCAGAACTTTCGAGCTATAATAGGAAAATAATAATAGGGGTGAAATTTTGGAATTATAATTATAAATTGAGTTTTAGGTTATATTTTTGTGTATAAATTATCTTTAGACACACAAATTTTTATGCCTTCTATCTCCTGATTTTTCCTCTCTGATAATTCAGTTTTCTGTAGGTGTCAATTTATTTGAATTCTTTGCAAAGATTCGATTATGTAGCTGCAAAGTGATTTCAGGCTGATTTTATAAATTATCATGGTTGAAACTTGCTACGGCGAAAGCTTTATTTTCATTAATTTAACTGAGAAATAAAAGTTAAATTTAATTAGTTACCAAAATTACATTTTAAAAAACCAGCTTTTAACCTACTTTTTATTCCTCTTGATCTCGAGTTTTTAAACATTATCACAGTCTTTGAAAGATTCTTAATATTAAGCACTAATTTTAGTATTGTATTCCTTTCCAATGAGAGTTAATTATGGATATATATAACAATCTCTTACTGGTTGCGCACGGATTTAATTCGACATATCACTTGATATTTCGCATATGTAAACTTAACATATTATTATTCCTTGTGAAAAGCACGTGCATGCAGTTGTTTATAATAAGGGTATAGATAAAAAGAAAGATTTTGTTTACGTATTTTAAGCGACTTATGTTCAAGGTCGACTGCGCGCTCGCCAGCTTAACCGACCAGCAAAGGAATACAAAGCGATTCGTTTATATTCCCTGATTAAGAGTTATGTCTCGCAGAAAACAAATAAATGTAGTACTTGTAAATTATCAAGCTAAGCATAGTTACGTGTTGCCAAAATATTCATGCATAGCAAAGCGGCATGAACAACTTGAGATAGTTATCTACCAGTTTATTTCACTCTTTTTATAAAAGCAAAGATATATAGAAAGTCAAATGAGCAAGTTAGAAATTTAACCGTTCTTTAAATATGAAATAAATGCAAATGCCTTAAGATGATGTAATAAACTGTATGATTTCGAGTACAGCAGTACCTTCACATAGCCCGGCTTTGAACAGTCCGAATTCACTGTAGTCCAGTTTGAAATTCTCAAAAACAAAATTGAACAAAATGAATCTATATTATAAAAATTAGTCCAAACTTATTTTTAAACATAAATATCCGTTTTTACTTTCATATAGTCAGTTCTAATTTTGTGCGGTTTATTTTTTAATACAAAATTTCAAAAGAAATTCCTCTTTACAGAAATTAGCTTATAATGCAGGACAGGATTAAAACCCGGGCTTTTGTACCTAGAAGCCTAGTACGTTTATTAAAACATCACCTCTTTGTGTTGCAGCGTTTAAAAAAGAAAGCTTTTATCTCAAATGCTTTATTTGAAAAGTAGTTCAAACATTATTTTTGTCATGTTGTATTTATACGATACTGCTTCATTACAGTACGAAGTAATAATCCAGAGGTAAGTGATCTTCCCATCTGATAAAGAGTTTTATTAACCCACACAACTATAATTATATAATTAATACACAGCGTTCAACACTATGAAATATTAAGCTTAGCATCAATATTCTTAGACTTACCTTTTCTTCACAGATTTAGCTTATAGGCTTTTTCTCACACTTAGTACTCTCGTTATTGCATTTCTAAATCCAAGTAGGCAAAACATTTCCCATACAGCAGTGTTCCCCAACCTTTTTATCAGCGCAGACCAGTCAAAGCTTGATAATTTTACCGCGGCCCGCTGTGGGGGGGGGGTTGTACCGGTCCGCGGACCGGGGGTTTTGGGGGTCACTGCCATATAGGATCTCTGAAATGCCACCTCACGGCTGGCGTTATCAACTAATAACAAGCATGCGAAAGAATATTACTGAAAAGAAAATGGATTAGATTTTAAGATTTTATTGATCTTAGATAATGCCTCAGGTCATCTGACATGTCTCTGTCATATCCGCGGACCGGTCAAAATGAAACATAAAACAACTTTCCTTTCATCAAATACGACGTTAATTCTCCATTTGATGGACTAAGATGTCACTGCGACATTTAAAGTCTATTACTTTAGCAGCACGTTTTTATAAGCTTTATTTTTGGAAGGCCTCGGACAACAAATCGTTATCAAAAAACATACACGAAGATGCCATAAAATTAACGGTAAACAATAAGATAACAAAATATGAGAATAATATTGAAGCACAGTTGTACCATAATTTGCAAATGATTGCTTGGTTTTGCAACCCATTTTGAAGAAGTCACTAATAACATAGTGGAAATCTGACAGCATCTCCGTTTCATTGAATTAGATTAAATCGAAATAATTTAGTGTATCAGATCGAACGCCAATGAACTAGACTAGTTAATGAAACACTTGTGGACATACAGGAACATCGGGCTTATGAAGAACGGTATGTATAAGAAATAAGAAATTTGGAACCAAATCCTCCAAGGCATGAATGAAAGAAGACGTTGGAATTTTTTACGTATGGGAGGGGGGGATGTGTTTTTGTACATTTCCTTGACGGATTGCCTCTGCGTCGAGGAGGAATTCAAAATTTTTGGTTGAAATGTTATAATTAAATAATGTAGAATGGTTCATCGGCTAGTTTTGGATTAACAGAAACGCAGCGGTTTTCCAAGGGAAAGGGATTCAGTTGAATCTGAACTACTTCCTCTTGATAACGTTGAATCAGATTTTGATTGCATTCCTGGCCCTACATTAATTTTTGTAACTTTTGTGTTTCCATATTTATAATTCTTCTGGTTTGGCAACTATTAGTTGATGTTTTACATAATTATAGGAAATTTTGTTTTTTGCTGATTTTTTGTTTCATTTCTTACATTTATCTATAATTGATTAATTTTTAGCAGCATATTTCACGGAAATAATATGGGAATAATTTAGTTTTTTACATAATTGTTTATACTACTATATATATGTGTGTGTGTGTGTGTGCATATTAAGTTTAAATGTTTGAATGTAATTTAATACAAAGTTATTTTAAGCGCAAAGGCAGCATTAATGATTTATATTTAAACTACAAATAAATAGATAATCTACTTCCTAGAATCAGGTTACAAATAAACTATTAATGTTAAAGCGTAGAAATGGGACCTCGTAAATAAACAAAGGTATAAAAGCTTTTTTTGTTCCGTGACTAAATTTAAACAAAGATATGGAACTAAGAAACGACATAAAGAAAATTAATTGCTCTGAGATCGGAATTCTTCGGGAGGAATGGCCGAAATCAGCAACAATTCATCTTCGTTACATATCACAAACCAAAAATTTTTCGGTAATTTGTGAGTAGTTCCACAAAAAATTTTAGATGAATTTATTCATTAGTTTTTCCTAAAAAGTTCTCAGAACCATGCTTTACGTTTTTGTGCTGCAGCTGTTATTTGTAACCTAGTCGTACGAAGTAGATTATTCATTTGCTTTTATTTTATATACTTATATCTATCTATTTGTTTATCGGTCTATCTATATCTATGTCTGAATCTATCTGTCCAATATCTACAAGGTGTGGCTATTAATTTCCAGGACTGCTCAAATTACCCCAGAACAGATGATGTGAAAAACGTAACCTTTTAATATGCTTCAAATTAATCCCCATTTGCCGTAATACCCTTCTGTGCTCGGCTGTATAAGTTGTGGAAACAAATTTTAAAGTCCTCTTTCGGAAGGCTCTTCAATGTCGACGTCACATTCTTCTTGATGTCTTCAACATCAACAAAGCACCTTGCATTTCTCTAGGACTTGCGTCAGAATTTGGTGGACCACCTCTTTGTTGATGTTCAATTCGCTGTCCAGCAATCGAATAGTCAGTCGCCGATCCGCTGTTATAAGCTCGTGAACTTTCTCAATTGTTTCGGGCGTACGCACGGAAATCGGCCTTCCGGTGTGGGCGTAATCCTCAACACTTTTACGGCCGTCCCAAAACCGTCGATACCATTCAAATGTGCGGGAACGGG